ATGTGAATAATTGCACTGCATACCAAAAAACTGCTGCATACAATCCCAAACAAAACAGTTTCGGTGGAAATTCCACGGACAGCCCTTCAGAAACTTGACCAAAAGGCAAATGGCATTGGCATGTTAATGCATGCATGTTAATTCAGCACAATCCATAAATAGCCTGCAGAGTTTAAAAGTATAGGGAAGAAAAAACATAAATTTCATTATGCATTTCTGAGTGTGTTAGGACATTTTATATCACCACTTAATACAAAAAAGTTTGCTTCTAAAACTTTAATGAGATTTAGATTTTAAAGAGAATGCAAATAAAATCAAAGATAATGAATCTAAAAGCAAAGTTATGGGTAATTAAAATCATTACAAGTGAGGGTGTTAGAGGACTGTTTTTAAAAGAAAGAATAATCCTTCTAACTATCATGTGATGATCTAAACTCTGTTTGCTTTAATGGATTGACCAATTGGTAAATGAGCTGATTGCATTAAAGGAGAAGGAATGCTGATGTCTCTCCAGCATTATCATGATGATGATGATGATGATGATGACGATGATGGGCAGCAGCTTCGGGCTGGCAAGCATGAGGAGTTGCAGCAGCAGCACAGTGAGTACTGGACATGTCTGTAGTAATTACACTCAGCTAGGGAAAGGTTCTGGGGTCAGGCTGAGTGTGAGCTAGCTGTCTGCTCAAAGTGAATGTATTCCCAACACCAGATGATCTTTACTTCATCCTTATGATGCTCCAGGCAAACTTTACATCCCTTTCAGCCTGAGGCATTTTCTCTACATTTGTAATATATATTTTTCCTCTTATATAGTGAAATGAATGCTTTTTAATTTAACAGAGCTCAAAATAGAGTAAGACAATTCACCTTGTAAAGGTGTGTGCATAAGTTTTTTAATATTTTTTTCATGCAGGTATACCTTCTTAGAATATATTTTAATATGGCCTTGGGTAGTTTTAGGGTCCGGCTAATAACTGTCCTCAGTAGACAAATAATTACTGATGATCGTCCACAAGAAAAAGGACAAAATGTGGAAATAGTAAGAGGCACGTATGAACATGGGTCAATCCCAAGGCTTTGTAAAGATCAGGTTGAGTAAAAGAAAAATGCTTTCACTCCTTTCCTTTTGCCATTTCATACTTTCCTATATTTGCTTGCTTCATTCAAAACGTTTTTAAATACAACAAGGTGTAATCATCTATCATGCTTTTTGATAGCAACTATAAAGACCTGATCTTAATTTATGTCCGCGTTGGGGATACAGTATATCAGACCTGCTTTGACAAATGTACATTCAGTGTGTCTTCCTATAACATGTTGAAGAGCATGTTATGCTATTTGTCATGTCTTGGTGACAAATAGTATCTGTCACTAAGAGGTTTATAAGACTTATGTTACTTTTATCAAGGAACATTATGTTTCATATACCATATAAGTTAAATACAGGAAACAACAGCCTATTCAATGGATGCAGGGCATGAATTTGTCTGAATATAAATAAAATGCCACCGATTAGGCATACCTTTATGAGCACCTGTCTCTAATAGACTGTTAGTAAACCTTTTGCAGATAAAACATCTGGTATCTGGCACTAATAGATCTTTTATGTCCTATTATTCACAAGTTGAGGTATCCAGGGATAGGATGTGTTAACAGATGGTTATACCACTAATGGTTTATTGCAATAAGTTGTGGAAAAATTAGAGCCAAAGTAACCACCTTAACCTAATGCTGCGCTATTTGAAACAACTCCACAAATAACATTGGCAAATAACATTATACAGCTAAAAAGTGTCTACAATTATTAGGAAAAGTGGTTTCAATGAAACTGTAATGTTACAGTACTGTGTGTGCCAAAGTAACCATGGTAAATGGTGGGGAACTGGTTTCCCAGCAAAGTGTTGCATGACACTGCTTCTGTAGGTCTGCCCTCCTTCGATAGAGCCAGTACTCGAGTTTAGGGGGGATGAGGGGAATGGCATCCTCATTCTTAAAAAAATCTTAAAAATCATTAAATTACCATTAAATGACCATCCCCCAATACCATCCCCCTATATCATTTTATTACTGAATGTGTACATTTATATTATATTTTGACAGTAATGGTAATAATATTGCCCTTTCAACATCTGGCAGGAGCTTTCAAATAGCCTCACCAACTTACAGTGGCCCAGAGGGCACATGCAGTTTCATTTTCGACCTCAGTGGCACAACCAGCAGACCAGGTGACGGTGTTCTGAACAGCATCACAGCCAAGCGGCAAAGACAATGCAGTTTGAGGGACTTTTTAAGAAGGCTAAAACTAACGCTTCAGTTAAGTAAAGAGTCAGAAGACATTATGCTGCGTTCATACCGGACGCAGCTGGCGCGACAGAAGCAGCGAGTTTACGTGCAAAGTAAATCGTTGACGCGCGTCAAGGCGCAGCAAAAGGTCCCGCGGCGCGTTTTGAGCAGCAGGCGCAGCGCTACTGAGCAGCTGAAGCAGAGCGTCGGGCGCGTTTAAGCATCTGACGCGCGTGACGCGCCGCAAACGCGCTGCTGCTCGAGATGGAAAAATAGAATTTTTGTGATTTCTGTGATCCCTCCTCTTAAACAGTTTATTGACGCCTAAATTAACTTAAAATGCAGAAATCTGTTTGGATTATTTAGATGAAAAACACCTACCAGCTGCCACGGTGAACCGCGAGGAGGCGACCCGGCCAGAGGCTGCTGATGAAGGGATTCCTACTGTCGGCGCACCGCTGGTATGTGGGGGTCTGAGCGGCTCCGACAGAAATAATATTGAAGGCAGGATGATAATCTGAATGAACTGACTGCAATGGTTAAGTTTTCAGGTGGATTTTCTCACTTAAAAACATATTAAAACTACTTTATTCCCATTGATCACAGTAAATATAGCTGCAAGGCAGAGAAAGGATAGTGAAGCTCCGCCCAACGCGCGTCAGACACACTTTTGCACCGCGCAGCCAGAGCAGCAAAGCTGCTTCAGCCGAGCGCCAGAACTAACTGGTACAAGCAGCAAAAAGGAAGCAGCAGACGCGATTTTGCTGCTTTTGCTGCGTCCGGTGTGAACGTAGCATTACCTTTGCTGTCAGTTTCGGTGGAAATTGTGTCACCAACTATGTAGCAGTCCTTATCTCCTGACATAGTGATAGCATGAAAAAGTAGGTAAACCAGTTTGAAGCGCAAACACTTTTCTGTCTTTAAAGTTGTCATGACGCAAACACAGACATCATGACACAGAAGTAGTTTAGTGTACACACATTGCTGAACATTCAAATTCTGCATTTTGGCTGTGAATCAAAAATAAAATTAATCTTCAGGCTGCTGCTGTTTGCTAGTTGACAGCCAGAATCTAGAAGATGTTGGCGAGACAAGTGGAGCTGTGGCTGAGTGCAGTGGAGGAAACCCGGAGGAGAGAATCGAAGGTTTGAAAAATGCATTTTAATTAAGCAATTTATGAAAGGTGTTAAGATTATTATCTTGCTGCCAAGTGCGATGTTAATGTCTGGCCAATGGTCATAAATTAATAAAATGTTGTCAACTGACTGCAAAGTCCCTCGTGTGACTTGTAGAATTCCCGTACATCCGATCAATAGTAAATAGCTTAGTTCAACGGACCTGTTAGAATAGTTTAAACTCATTTATTGCCAGCATGTAGCCTAGCTTACTTTAAATTTGCCAATAGAAGCAATACTGATTTTCTTATAAACTGTCTATTTTATAAAATAAATACTCTATATCAGGCATCCCCAAACTTGGTCCTGTCCTGCAGGTTTTAGAGGTTTCTCTGCTTCAGCACAGCTGGTTATAATGATTGCAGTAGACCAAAAGCCTGTTAATCAGCTTTCAATTAAAATCAGCTGTACTGGAGCAAGGAAACCTGTAAACCTGCAGGACAGGGGGCCTTGAGGACCGAGTTTGGGGATGTCTGCTCTATATGAATATTTGAAAGGTGAGTAAGGTGAGTTTTTTTTCACAACTCGACTCCTGGATGGATCAACTTGCTTTCATTTGTGTGCCAGGTAAGCAACACACACATACCTTTTTACCCAGATGATGGAAATGGAAAAAAGATGCATCAGACATATCCCCTTCTTCCATATCCAACTCCTGTTACTCATGCAAATTGTTGCTGCTTGACTGCAACAACATCTATGCTGCCCAATATGCTAAAAAATGTGACTCAATGTAATACTTTTTTATTTATCTTTCATCACTTTACAATGCCAAGGAAACTTTAAAAACACATTTTCAATTATTGCCTGATATATACCACCCACTAACAGCTGCAACAGTGAAGAGATAATAATTGATATTCCTGTGACCTTTTAGAGGTCAACAGCCAAGCACTTATCTGAGCATATTTAGAATTATAAGTAATCAAGAAAACATGAACACCAGGAGAAATTAACTCATGCTAATTGGTAAGCACATGAAGAGCAAATGGACCTAGGTTATTAATATGGATGAAGAATAAGACAAAATATCTATGTTATAAAAGTGTGTGTGTGTTTGTGTGTGTGTGTGTGTGTGTGTGTGTGTGTGTGTGTGTGTGGGGGGGGGGGGGGGGGGGTGCAACAACCTGATTTTAAAAAGCATATTCTTTGAAAATGATTAAGTACCTGGAAAAAAATAAGAGCAGAAGCAGTCTTTGTGGAAAAAAACAAAAAAGGGAAAGCTCTTTAGAAAACTTGCAAAATACACTAAAGGGGATACCTAGTCATATTAGGTGTTTTCAAGATATGAAAATAGTAATAATGAGCAATGCTGGATAGATCAATAAAACAAATTAAGTTTACAAATGTCTTTTTTTTAGTTTTTAGTTAGCTTTTAGTTTAATATTATTTATGTCAGTAATTCAAAATAAATATATCTATTATAATAAATCAGCAGTCCCCAGAGAGGTAAATTAATTTTTTTCATTACTCTAAAGATTGGATTAAAATAACAATTTAATATAACCTTCTTATATGTCTGCAGAAAATAAGACTTACCATCCTCTCTAGATTTTTGAATAAATGCATCAACACCACTTTCTCCATAGTTTCCCTCCGAAGCCACAGTTGAGACGTAATTCCATCGCATAGCTTTGACGATGTCAACCATAGCCTGAGCCTGGTAAGTGTCTGGGGGCACCACACGAGAGAAGAAGTCGTAGCGGGTGTTATCACTCAGTTCTGGAGCTGTAGAGGCATAACTCACTTGAGGGATCTGCGAAAAAACAGGAACAAAGACACAGAAATGGTTATAAATGAAAAATAGTAAATGTGTCTGCATTGTTGACTGGGTTAAAAGGGGTTGTTAGTACCTCTTCAAGCAAAAAATGTAATACAATATGACACCTAACATCTGCTGAAATCTCTCAGTAACTCCTCTGTCGTTCACCCTGTGGGGTTTCAACTTTTTAAATAGTCTTGAGAATCACAGGTTTGGCGGCTGTTCTTACTGAGGAGTCTTTTTACACCAGTCAAGCAACACTAATCTGCTCAAAATCAACTGTTTTCTTTTCATTATGTGAAATTTATTTGGTGATGGAAATCTTGAATGTTGATCACACTGCATACCTGAAAAACATTGTGTTCACACAGTAAAAACAACAAGACAAGGTTATAACAAGAAAAAACAATAAAAGCTTATCACCGTATTTTCTGAAGTTTGAAAAATGCATTAGAAAATCTGTACTGAGGAAAGTGTTCTTTATTTTATTAATGCAAACCCCAGAAAGTGCAGTTTTCAGATTGCTTCTCAGATAGTACCTTAAAATGTGGAAGTTCTGAAATGTTTGGTTCTTTTTGTACTTAGCTTCATAAAAATCTGTCTATTTCCTCACAGAGAAAAATCATGTCTCATCTTTTACTTGCCTAAGTTGTTTTTGAACATTGGCTGTCAGCTTCTGTAATATTCTTATGTTTACCCCTATTCTAAACCAAAATAAATCTTTTTTATGCCATAGATGGTCATACGTTAATCAAGACATAATTTGATTAAGCTCTCTTGACTTTTAGTGTTTATCATACAGAAAATATGTTTTCTGTATGATATGAAGTGTCATATGAAATGTGTCGTATAGCCCAATCATCATTGATATTGTCTAAAGCAATACAAATCCAGCATCATCTTCCAGAATGCCCAACTATGCAAGATATCTAATTTTGTCTTTAGCTACTACATCGTGGAAATGTAGAAAAAAAAGGTCCATGGTAAGAGTACCCCAATTGTAAAACATGATCTTTTGCTAACTCTTATTAGAAATGTAGGGTTACTCCTGCATTTTTATTTTATTTTATACTGTATCACTCTGTGAGGCAGTCTTTAAATTGAAAATAACTAACCATAATCTGTCTGTATGAATATGCTGGATTTTATCAGCCTTCATCATCATACACAGTAAGTATACTAAACAAAGTTGTACCATAAGAAATAAACATACAGTAATGTAAATGCTTGACTGAACTGGATATTGTTGATTTGTATTGTGTTGCTGATTTGTTTTTCCTAGAGTGAAATTTCATAGAGAAAACAGGTATGATATGCCTGATTTACATAAATAATGGGAACAGATCATCTCATTATTTATAAAAAAAAAAGTCCAGGTAGAATATTTTAACTACTGAGTGATTACATAATTCTGCCTTCAGGTTTTCACACATAAAGATTCAGTTAAATGTTTAAATGGGGTAGTAGGGTTTATTTTATTTGGGTCATTTTCCGCACTCTCAACTCAAAGTAAGATTTCTTGCCAGAACATGTTGGACTGTGACAGCTCTGCCCCTCATCTCTGATCCTGTTTGTTATGTGATACCAGTAGTCTAGTTGTTAAAAAAAAAAAAAAAAAAAGAAGGGGGATGATGGAATTTTTTTTATTATTTTGGAACCATACATAGCCTATTTAATATAGTCTATTAACCTAAAGCAATAAGCATAGTATGGTTGTTACATGTCAGGTATGCCGGTCATTGATCAAGGCACCTTACAGTAGAACTGCAGTCAGTCCGTGGACTGACATGGCTATCAAATGCAGAGGACACATTTCCCGCTGGGATCAGCTTCATAGTCATGGTAGGCCACTTTTTTGACATTTTCAAATACTATATATCAAATTTTGATGCAGTAAAGGTTCTCAGGTTCTGTTGTTATGATTAAAACTGAGCATTTACATTGGCTGTTACTTCACAGTGGTGCCAAAAGTACACACATATGTTACTTAAGTAGAAGTATAGATACTGCAGTTTAAAAACACTCTGGTAAAAGTTGAAGTATCAACTCTACCTCTTTACTCAAGTAAAAGTGAAAAAGTATGAGCTCCAAAAGGTACTTAATGTATATAATAACCTTAAAAAAAAAACAGCCAGATGCCACTATATGAATTGAAAGCTCATTTTTTGACTATTTGGAAAAATTCTTTGAGATAGGGCCAAGGATGAGGGAGGTCTTGTTGGTCTCTATCTCCCGATTCCCAGTGTCCGACGTTTTAGACATCTCAACATTGTTGCATCGCATTGACAATTCATGTTTGCAGTTTGAAGAACACCTGCTTGTGTCTGATGATTTTCTTTGACGTCAGCATTGATGAATAGCTAACCAATCAGTGTTTGTGTTATATGACTCATCCAATTACACTAGTTTTTACTAGATGATGGCGCCAATGATCTGCATTGGATGGCGTACATGTACTGCAATCCCTGCAGCCACACAGCCCTTTCTGGAACCAGCATGAGATCCCTGCTCTAAAGCTAATGTTAATAGCCATAATTAGGAAGAGGAGGGATTTCCTGAAAAGTAGCCAATTAAAGTCAAATTACTTTCTTTGATTGGTTCCACCCTCAGTGAGGTGTTACGGTCACAGTGCAATAATTTAACAGCCATGTAACGGTCATATCATTAAATCAAACGCCATGTGTCCCAGGGCTCTGGCATAATTACAAGAAGGAAAAATATTAGAAAATGCCTTCTTCTGAAAATTTTAGCGAGCGTGGAGCGATTTTACCGGAGCAGCAGGAAAATGAAGGTGAGCGCAGAGCGAATTTTGAGCGGAGCGTCCTGGCACAACTTTGAGTGGCGGAGCAAATGAGCGAACATCCTCTAGAGCTGGAATTGCGCAGCCCTCTGCTCCATTCACATGCTCTGGTCACAAACAGACCAATGTTTATAGAATTTACCCCACCAATGTGGCTTGTTGATGTGGCTGTGTTACCCATCAGTGCTGAAATGCATCTTCATTCAGTGGGTTGGTAGATACTAATGTAAAGCCCTGATGGTAGGTGAGGGCAGGATTTAAATAATCAAACTGTGGGCTCATATGTAGGAAAACCTGAGTCAACAAAGGAAGGGTTTCTAATTGCCGGTTTGTCTACATTCCATCTTTGTTCAATTCTCATAAGATATTCATCATGATTGCAAGAACAAGATCTCGGATACAAGCAGTTGAAATGTGATTCCTACAACGGGTGACTGGACTAAGGTAGTGTAAATAGAGTAGCTCACACTTTGAGCTTGGAGTAAAACCACTTTTTTTTGTCAGCATTAAAAGGTTTTACTCAAAGTGGTCGACTTGGTTGAAGTGTTTCTAGAGATAGAGATGTCTGTGTTTATTTCCTGAGCCTGTTACCTTTGCATCCTGATTTCATAAACTTAAAACAGAGTGGATGACTGGGTCAATAGACAAGGGATTGCTTTCTCTCGCTCTGTTATTGTTATTGTTGCAACAAAATAAACTTTACTCACCGAAGGTTTTCTCCACATGCAGTGGACTGACTGCTGTGGGAGTGATAACATCCTTTCCACTGTCCCTAACTTCACTCAGCGGATGCCTTTGATGTGATCAGCTGCAGCCCTGCTCTGATCCTACTAGCAATGTGGAAGCTTGTGTTGCGAGGACAGCTGTTCAGTGTGTTCCTGTGACCTTCCTCTCATTACAGCTCCTGTAAATCCACTTACATGTAGGTTTCGCTGCAATAGCCCTTTGGAGTAAGATTTTATGGTAACAGAGGCTATAAATGTGTGATATTTTTTAACACATTAACTAGATATTTATATGCTTATTGATTCTGTAAACATCAATGTGAAAAGCAAGCTCCTTTAAATTGAAAAATGTAGCAAGAAAGGGATAAATGACTTGTTCAAATTCATCAAGGTGGATTTTTTTGGAAGAACATTTTGTAGCTGTGAGAACTATTACAGCAGGTTTACTTTTGTTTGTGTTTGTTTGAGGTCAAAATCTTGCTGACCATCAGTTGTAAGCTGAATTTACCTATAAACCCAGGTACATCTAAATATCAGTTTTCCTTTTTTCCCTTGATTTTACTTTGAAAGTTGGTAAAACATTTACCTCACATTTGTGTTTTATTAACTCCTGGAAATAATGTAAGTGTTAACAATTCTAACAGCGCTTTGACGTCACAAAGCTGAATCCTGCGGGATGTAAGTGAAGTGTTGCAGGAAGGTGTTTGGAAGGTGTTAATGATGCCTCCTTTTATTTCAGTGCTCTGTCACACAATAAATTGATTTTTTTCAGTCATTTGCACCAATATTTCACTTTTTTAATTCCTTTCTAAAAGTGGTAAAGATTATCTTATCTTTGTCAGTTTTATGAACACCATATGTCCTATTGGATAATAGACCCGGGGTTGCTCTGTTTGAGACCATGTGCACAATCTGCAGAGGCTTAGCCCTAAATGCAGTTAGATAAATAAATAGCAATAATTTTATTTTTTTTTATTTATATGTACTCACCCTTCTTTGAGTTTGGAGTAAAACCACTTTTTCTGTCAGCATTAAAAGGATTCACTCCTTTTGACTTGGTTGAAAGCGTCAACCACTTTCAACCACTAAGTGTCAACTACTTCAATATACAAATTTGCTTGTTTTTAAAAATCTACATAGGATAGAGAGATATGCAGTGGTGTTTTTCCTCTCTCTCTCTCTCTGTCTATAATCATAAAAAAAAAATGTTTTTCTGATTTTTGAAATCCATTTACACATGTGTTTAAGAGGTATTCCAGACAGATTCCTAAGCCACATTGATATACCTTTTTCGAGTGGGAGAGCAGCGTCTCTAATCATAGTGCTTGCCAAAGGAGTTTTTTTCAGTATGTCTTACAGTAGTTCAGAAAGCATTTAGAAGGTGGTAACATTTCCTGCTTGTCAAGTCTGTGATCCTACTCTTGTTTTAAGTCATTACTTATGACTTATGACAACCAGTTAAGTTATGA